AGTTAAACTGCCAAAAAGGCCACATTATTAACCCGAAACTACACAAAAATTACACTTCAGATACTCAACTTCCTTGACATGCTTCACGTTTTGAAATTTCACAGAGGTTTATCTCTCATTCAGAACAATGGAAACCTGTTAGCTGAAATATAAACACCTGTGTCATGGAACACGATTATGTCATAACTACAACTGACATGCTCAGAGCAGCAGACTTCAGATAAAGGTTAATGGTCCTGCCCTCAACAGCTCTACGTCAATTATGGGGTGTCATCATCATATGCCGAAGAGAGAGAGGGCGATCAAGAGAAGAGAGAGAGTAATGTAATAAAACACGGTTTTCTCATAACTTCAGTGAAAATACTCCAAACAGCCCAACATTTCACAGGTTTGGTAACGATGCAGCCATCAACGCATCGTATGCTACGTTCACACCGGACGTGATGCGAATATTCGCTTCGCTCTAAACGCTCCTATCGCATCGCTCTAGTCGCTCGAGTTTCACCGCGGCTGCCAGCTGTGTTTACTCGCATCATTCAAACAAGACGCGCTGGCTCGGGAGCTACAACTACAACAAGATGAACATATTTTACCGTGATTAAATTGTAATACATGTTTCTAAACGATGCCGACGTAACAACATACTGATACCGGTTAGTAAAAACCATGAATTAATGCTTGACAAGTCTGCAGACAAGACGGCAGGCGAAAAACCTTTTAAATTGCTTGTTTTCTGAATGGAGATTGGGTCGACCAGGCTAAGCTAACGTTGTATATGCTCACTCCACACTCATAACAACGGCCTACAGACATAAATAAACCAGCGACTGTATTCGCCATGACACAGACAGTCTGTGGTTTGTTCTTGTTTAACTTTTGTACAGTTTCTGAACAGATATGAGGAGCTGTGATCTCTGTGTACTAACTGCTAACAGCTAATGGCTGATGTTTTCTGGTTGAACGTCAGTGACAGTAGGCTGAGATCCTCACCGCTGATTGGCTTCCGCGAGAACGCGTCACGTGAATTTGACGCCCGAGTTGAAAAAATTGAACTCTCGCGTTTGACGCAGCCCCCTTCAATCGCCTCAATCGCGTGATTCGCGCCGCGTCCACCGCTTCATGCGCGCCGTCGGAGCGAATTCGCGTCTGATCGCGTCTCTGCATTGACTTTACATGTAATCGCGCCGCCCCCAAACATCGCATAGCGTCCGGTCTGAACGCAGCATAAGCGTATTATGGGGTGTCATCAAATGCCGTTGCCATGACGACGGACCACTCGCCATGAAACATGCTGTCGCTGTAAGTCCAATGGACACGGTCCAATCGTCCCCCAATCTTAACTTGTATATCACCGGTCCATGCCTCAACAGCTCTACCCCAAATCTGAGATCTCACCATATGCCGTTTCCATGGAAACACATCCCTCGCCATAAAAGACGATGTCACTATAACTCCTATGAAAATTGTCAAAAAGTGCTAAAACTTCACATGTGTGCCAACAGTCCAGCTGTGAAGACATCTATGGGACAGTTTTGAGATTTCTTCAAATGCTGTTGCCATGGCAAACAATGCTCGCCATGATGAAACAGTTTTCTCATAACTTCAGTGAAAATGCTCCAAACGCCCCAAAACTTCACAGGTTTGGTAACGATGCAGCCATCAACGCATCTAAGCGTATTATGGGGTGTCATCAAATGCCGTTGCCATGGCGACAGATCATTCGCCATCAAGTCAGTTCAGAAGTTTGCAGTTCAAATATTCTGCTGCTTTTCCAAGCCTTTTTACTTTCTTTTCTTCTCTCATCACACATTCAAGCCCCCAGTGTTCATGTATCATTTCATTCTAAATTCTTCACTTTCTTCTTACACATTACATTTCAGCATAGCAGTTTAGCGTCAGCTTTTCAGCATAAAGCATTCCCACTAGAAATTTCTTCAGGAATTGCATTCTCTAGTTGGAGAAAGTTCTGCCACTGTCTGTGTTTGAGTGGATGTCATTGAAGACCTTTACAAGAGCAGTCTCAGTGCTGTGGTTTGGACAAAAGCCTGACTGGAACACATCGAAACAACTATTTAAATGCAAGAAATTACTCAACTGTTGAAAAACTACTTTTTCAATGATTTTACCTAGAAATGGGAGGTTTGATATGGGCCTTTAATTGTTCATTACTGAAGCATCTAGATTATTATTTTTTAAGAGCGGTTTAATGACTGCAGTTTGCAGGGCCTGTGGAAAAACACCTGAGTGAAGAGATTTGTTTACTATATGAAGTAGATCTGAGGCCATGCAAGGAAAAACATTTTTGAAAAACCCTGTTGGAATAATATCAAGGCAGCAGGAGGAGGATTTCAGAAGTTGTATAATGTCCTCTAGGTTTTTATCATTAATCTGATGGAATTGTGTCATGGTGTTTGAATTGATGTTAGGTGGACATAGGGACAACACATTTGCTGTACCTGATGCAGAAGCACTGACTGCTTGTCTGATTTTCTGAATTTTGTGGATAGAAATTCAGAGGCTACTGACACTGGGGGGTTAGTTAGTCTGTCGACGGTAGCAAACAAGGCACGTGCGTTGTTTTTGTTTTTGGTAATGATGTCAGAGAAGAAAGACTGTCGTGCCTTTTTCAAATCCAAATTATAAAGGCCAAGTCTCTCTTTATGGATTTCAAAGTGAACCTAGAGATTTGTTTTTCGCCACCAGCGTTCAGCTTCACGGTCATGGCCTTTCTCCATGGAGATATTTTCTTCCCAGTCACTTCCTTTACCTTAGTTGGAGCAATGGCATCTATAACATTTTTAATTTTTGAATTAAATGATCTACTAGCTCATTTACTGAGATGTTAGCAGGGGCAAGTGTGGAAGAAAAATTCTGAGTAAACATTTCCCTAGTATTTTCAGTTAAATATCGCTTTGTGGTTACCTTTTTTTGAACATTTTTGTGAACAGAAATAGAGCTCTCAAAGAACACACAGGAATGATCAGAGAGTGCAACATCAATCACCACAACCTTAGAGATATTCAGACCCTTTGAGATAATTAAGTCCAGAGTGTGCCCCTTATTGTGCGTGGGCTCTGTCACATGCTGAGTCAGTCCATAGCTATCAAGAACACAAAACAGTTATTTTGCCCCTCTATCCTGGGGGTTGTCAACATGGATGTTAAAATCACCAACAATTCAGTAAAGTCATCAAAAAAGCTTGCACAGTATTTGGGGGTCTATAGATATTTAGGAACAGAGCTCGAGAGGAGCATTTCAGCTGAAGGGCCACATATTCAAAAGAAGCAAAGTCCCCATAAGATGTCTTCCTGCATTGAATGGAGTCATTGTACAAAATAGCAACTCCACCTCCTCTCTTATGCATTCTTTCCTGACTCATAAAACTAAAGTTGGGAGGGGTTGATTCGATAAGAACAGCTGCACTGTTATTTTGTTCAATCCAAGTTTCCGTTAAAAACATAAAATCGAGATTGTGCTCAGTGATAAAATCATTGATTAAAAATGTTTTTCCTGCCAGAGACCTGACATTTAATAAAGCTAGTTTAAGTTTGTTAAATACACTATCAGTCAGGTTTTTTGTAACAAGCTGTGGCTGACATGGAATCACTGCTAAATGTGATAAACTCACACAAACGTTTGAGCACTTCCTGTTTCTAAGCTGATTCACCGCTCTCTATCTTTTACCTATCAACACAGATATCGGCAAAGCTACTTTCAATTAAGTTAGTTGAAAGCAATAATATTAAATTGAACCTAATATTTGTTATTTAAACGTAATATTATTGCTTTTAACTAACCTAATACAGTTATGTTAAATCTGTTGACATAATACATTTAATGTAGGTCAATGTTTCAGTGTTTCCAGTGTGACTTTTTAAAGTGATAAAGGTCCTGCCCCTCCTTTTTGTAAATATGGGCAGTACCACTGTAACTTCTATTCATGCGTTTGAGTCATATAACTCATGAGTAGCCAAAAATGAAATCAGAATGAGGTCAACATGAAGTCAGAATATAGTCCAAATGAAGTCGTTCTGATGTCAGACTGTCAGAATGAAGTCTGCAAACACTTCTGTCCCTTCTCTACACACACATTTAATGCTCTGCTCAGTGTGACCTAGTTTGTACAACTACACACTGCAGCAACTGGGCTGACACACCTTAACATTTCTCTTATTTCTTCTGAATGCATTCAATAAACTTCTCAATAGCTCTTCTATAACGACAGCTCCCTGCTACACCCGTCTTTTAAACGCAGGGAATGACAGGGCAGATTTATTCTGACTTCACCATCATACTGTTGTTCTATCAGGGGTTAGAGTGGAGTGCACATAAACAAAATATTTATTTTAGCAACAACATTTTAGTTGAGTACAGACACATATTTTATATTTAGATATACTGTATATGGGAAGTAGTTCAGGGTTAAGTGACACAAAGAGGTGTGTGTGGCCCGTTTGCACTACACAGAACCATTACAGTCAGACAAGCTTGATGAATAATACAAAGCACAATGTTCCGACTGCTACCACTTAAGGTTGTTTCTTTTCTTGTTCTCTCTCTCTGTATAACTCTTTTTCCCCAGTGTGTGTGCATATGAATAAATCACAAGCCCCTAACATCGATTCATTCGGGCCAGACATCAAACATAATGTTAAATATAAAGAAAAGGTTTTAATATATTTTAGTGCAGTGTATTCATTTTTCATTATGGTATTTTATACTTAATAATACATGAGAGGCTCGTGCTCTTATTGTAGTGTGTGCTAACTTGTTAGCATGCGCTTCAGACAGAGCTAGCTGCTGGAAACAATAGCTTGTAAAGCGCTTTGAGCACCAGGAAAAGCACTATAAAAATAACATGTATTATTATTATTCTGACCATTTTGCCCACAGCTTTGGCTAGACCTTTTAAAAGCTTTTATCCGTCTTTCATTCTCTGGCCACTGTTCCTCATTCATGATGTCTCTGTCTCCTTCTTCTCTTCCCTAAAATTGTAGAAGAAACTTCCGCAAACAACTTAGGATGGTGGGCAGCCGCAGGGTGAAGGTCCAGAGTAAGTCTTTCTCTGTACTGTATGTTTTCTGTGAGCAGCACATGTTCATGCACTCATGCTTTACAGTGTGTACCATAACATCAGGATGCATTCACTCTTAATTGCATGGAGCCAACAGCCACTGTGCATGTTCAGATAACATAACCTTACAATGGTCTTGATGGTGATCTGGCCCTGGTTGTGCTGCATGTGTCAGTGACTGAACCAACATTTACTTTACAAAAGAATGTGTCATGTTGTTCATTATTGACTGTGTACTGCTGGGTTCTAGCATTCTATCACTGATGACTTGAGTCCGCAAACTCAGCTCTTTAACACGTGTATCTGTCGCTGTATCTTTGGAACCTTTGATTTGATTTTGATAACAAAGTATGGGGCAATTATTTTCATTCTTCACAAATCAAGTTTGAATGACAATTCCCCCTGATGCTAAATGTAGATTTTGTGTATATTTGGTTTAATGGAATGTTAAGTTATCCTATAACCCAAAACTTGTGTGGCCACATATTGACCCCAAGCTTTCACATGTCAATACAGTATGCCATCTGTATCATTTGATATCCATCACAACATTCTTCACTTGACAGTTTTAAAATAATTCTAATATTGAAATCAAAAAGAAAAATCAAGTCTGTCCCTTAAGTGAAGTTTTGTCATAAGAATACAAATTAAAATGTATTTAAGATATAGGGGTTTTGTGCTCTTTTCTGTTGTGATACAGCCAAGAACAACATTTGTATCAAATCAGTTTATTTTTCAATGAAAACTGAACAACATAGACCTAAGTAAACATAAAGCACTTGGGCCAGTTATCTGTTCTGCACTGGGTCAACAAGATGGAACCTTGGATTATGTGTGGGTGTGTGTGGGTGTGTTGTGTGGTGTGTGGTGTGGGTGTGTGGGGTGGTGTGGTGTGTGTGTGTGTGTGTGGTGTTGTATGTGTGGTGGGTGTGTGTTGTGTTGTGTGTGTTGTGTGGTGTGTGTGTGTGTGTGTGTGTGTGTGTGTGTGTGTGTGTGTGTGTGTGTGTGTGTGGTGTGTGTGACTTCTTCCCGCCTCACTCCATCAGCCTATGCCGACCGCCGGGCCCGGAGTTTCAGCCGCTCGTGGAGTGACCCCACCCCCGTCAAGCCTGAGTCCCTGCATGACTCCAGAGACAGTGAGTGGACACTCTCACACACTGTCAAAGCAAAACAATACATAGCACACACCATTTATACTCATACTCAAACCCACAATAACACAAAATTTAAGATTAGCATGTCCTATTCTTTGTCGTAGTTTCTATATTCTGCCACAAATGGCATCCTGAAAGCTAACTTGACAAGAAAGATGTAACACAAGCAATGTTTACTGGGATAGGTTGGCGAGCCATTGCTTAGCCCCAGCCACCTGTTGATTAATTGCATTGATGTTAAGTAACCATTTACTCAAGTACTGTCCTCAAAGTACAATTTTGAGATACTTACTTGAGTTTCAATTTTTTGCTACTTTGTATTTCTACTCGACTACAATTAAGGTGTAAAAGGTGTACTTCTACTCCACTATGTATTTTATCCCTTTAGTTACTTTACAGATGTGGATGAATGAAGTGAAATCTAATCAAGTGTTAAATCAGACTTTAGTTCCACCTGGAGTAAATTCACAAGCTACCCTGCAGTATACAAAGCCATTCAAACTAGCTGCACCTTTACCAGCTTTGAGAACACTTTCATGATCAATCATTATAAAACATATCATATATATTATTCTGAAATGGACCAATCTGCACAATCACTACTTTTACTTTTGGTACTTTAAGAAAAAGTTGATCCCAATACTTTTGTAATTTGACTTGAGTAACATTTTGAATGCAGGACTTTTACTCGTAACAGAGTATTCCTACACTCTGGTACTTCTACTTTTACCCAAGTACAAGATCTGATAACTTCTCCCACCTGTGATGAATTGACATCTGACAAGCGTTGGTGGTCAGTACATTAGACACACACAGAGACTGACACATGCAACACTTGCACTCTCTTTTTGTACTTTCTGACTGCCATTGTGTGTCTCCAGGTTGTCTTGATACCCTCTGTCTATCTACTCAGCCATCCTCACCGGTCAACCAGCCGTCCATCTGCCTGTTGCTTTGTGCAGGAGCTGTCTGTATGTGGCTGCTTCATAAGCAGAGTGTTTTTGTGTTGTTCTCTCTCGACTGATGTCTGTTTTGAACTCCTCCACTCCTCCACTCCTCCCCTCATGGGCTGCAAAAACAGGCGCACCGCTTTTAAATGGAGCACCCTCATTTCTAATCTTGTTTGTGTGTTATCCTTTCATCTCTCCCTTTGTTCCTGTGTGTGTGTGTGTGTGTGTGTTGTGTGTGTGGTGTGTGTGTGTGTGTGTGGTGTGTGTGTGTGTGTGTGTGTGTGTGTGTGTGTGTGTGTGTGTGTGTCAGGTGGGAGCTTCAGACCTCCACAGGGACACTAGATGAAGGGCTGGACGAGTATGCCGACTGGGAGGAGGAGAGGGAGTTGGAGAGAGTGTCCTGTGAGGAAGAGGACTTCATGCCACCTAAGATCATGGTGAAGATCTGGGCTTAACACATTTCCCTAAACACAAAGTATCTGTCTTACAGCTAATGTTTCTCTGCACGTATCCTGTTTTCCACAGCTGATATCCTCCAAGGTCCCGAAGGCTGAATATGTTCCCAACATTATTCGCAGGGACGACCCCTCCATCATCCCCATTCTTTATGTGAGTAGCAGCCATGAATAGCTTCATACTTAACACTTACCCCATGTTGTGCTCTATTCATTTAAGTGTCCAAACTAACAAAACTAAGAAACAAAAAGCAACCTTAGGAGATTAAGGAAAAATGGTCCAATGTTCATTTGTGTCAGAATGTAGAAGAGCCAATAATGCTCTTTAAATGATTTAGCTTACAAGCAATTTACATAGTTAGAGCAGCCTGGCTTTGATTTGTGGGACATTGCCCTTTTTATCTGATGGAAATATGAAAGACCATCTTCTGCTGTTTTTATACAGGAAAGAACAAAGTACCATGAGCTTGTTGTGAGATGCAAAATGTGAGTGTCAGTCAAAGTGTGTCAGTCAGTTGACCCTCAGTCAAGTTCTCTTTACGCAGTAGGAAGTGAGTGAACCAAATGAACCGTTGACTTTAATTATTTAATGACTTTAAATAGTATTGCTTTGAACTAACCTAATACAGTTATGTGAAATGTGTTGACATAATACATTTAATTAAGGTCAATGTTTGGTTTTTCTCAGTGCAGGGGGGAGAGAGTTAGCTAATTCTTTGTGGTCTGATAAACAGTTAATTGATCAAATGTTGCCCGCCGTATCATTTGTTCCCGAGCTAGAGTAGACGTAGCATTACTTGGGCAGTGTTTAGTGAGGGCGACGTTATGTATCTGTGAACAAGACAAATCACAACTCTTTGTCTAAATGAATTATGATTTTATTAATGGCTGTGAGCGATCTAACGTTTTGTGAAGACAATCAGTGGCTCATTTAATTTGGTTATATTTCTGATCACTTAATGAAGTAATAATTCCGTTTTCCCTTTCTATTTAAAGGACCATGAACATGCCACATTTGATGATATCCTCGGTGAGTGTAATACGTGTGGGGCTATTAGCTGACAAGTGAAAATGAGTGTTCCAGTGTAAATGTGGAACAGATGAGGATGGAATAAGTTTCAGCTCGCTGTGGCAGAGATGACTCATTGTTTTCATAGTCGTGTTCGTGAGCGTCTCTCGAGGGACAGCCAATTTATATATATCACCACCAAGGATCCGTGTGAAAAGTGACACATCTCTCTCTGTGTCCCTGTCCCAGAGGAGATAGAGAAGAAGCTGACTGCCTACAGAAAAGGCTGTAAAATCTGGAGCATGCTCATTTTCTGCCAGGTGAGTGACGCGAGGAACGGAAATATTGCGACATTATTGCCACCGTGTTATTGAATTAGTGATGGCTTAGAAATGTGATTAGTACTGTCTAATTAGCAGTTATCGATTGAGGGATGCATTTATATCACCTGGTAACAAGATCAGTATAATTTTCACCTCACAGAAAGAGTACATTTACATTTTAATATCATATTTTGTCAAAATATTAGCTCTTTCAGTTCAAAAATAATGAATGAATTTGATCTCGAATAGAACTAGAGGCCAAACTGAAATATTTGTTCATGGACTCAAATCCTTTTTGCTTGTAATTTATTCAGAATGATGTATTAAAAAAAACTTTTGTCAAGAATACTATCGCACCGATCATGAATATAACCTGGCGAAAAAGGCAGGGTTATTTATGGTGAATATTTGGCCTTTTCGTGTTGTTCATTTAAGTAGTTTCATATTTTTGTTCTGAGCTTATTTATAACGGGTGTTTGATTTGTTGCTCTAGCTAACAGGAGCTAACTGGCTAAATCAGACATTATAACATTACAAGTGACATAATCAAATAAAAAGTAAGAAAGTTAAATGAAAAGTTAAATAATTTAATAGAAAGTGACATTACATAAGTGACATTATGAAATAAAAAGTGACACTTAATGAAAATGGCACAAAATGAAAATAAAGTGACATTATGAAAACAAAAGTAAATGATGACGTAAAAAGTAAATTGATTGACATTCTGAAATAGTTGACATAATGAAATGACTCTTTCCTCAGGGAGGTCCGGGACATCTGTACCTGCTGAAGAACAAAGTGGCCACCTTTGCAAAGGTGGAGAAGGAAGAAGACATGATCCAGTAGGAATTCATTTTGATGCTTTGACCAGAAACTCTTATCATCACGATACAGAGCAAACACATGACATTCCTCATGCAAACAAAGCTGTTTCAGCATATTACACTGACAAACCAGAAACGTTGACTTTAATTCAATGTCAACAAATATCAAGCTGTATTAGGTTAGTTGAGAGCAATAATATTAAGTTGAAACTAATATTTTGTATTTAAACTTAATATTATTGCTTTCAACTAACCTAATACAGTCATGTGAAATCTTTCGACATAATACATGTAATTAAAGTCAATGTTTTATTTTGTTCTGTGTATAACAGTAAGGGAGTGATGATATGTTGCTACACATTAGTCACATGTTCAAGATACTGATAATAACAGACACAAAATAAAATCATGCTCTACATACACACACTTCTTAACATCCTGCCACAACAGTTTAAAAGAAAATTCTTCCTCCAACCCTTTAGAGCTACATTTTACATTTGAAAAGATTGCAGGTGGTTTGAATGTTGTGATGGAATACTCCAAAGTATGAATATTCTGTGGTTAATCTCCTCCTCTCCACTGTTGACTTTTATAATCCTCTCCTCCCCTGTGTCCAGATTCTGGCGGCGGCTCAGCAGGCTGATGAGTAAACTGAACCCCAAGCCCAACCTCGTGCACATCATGGGCTGCTACGTGCTGGGCAGCGCTAACGGAGAAAAGGTACGGAAAGAAGAAGACACTCATAGACTTTTTCGAAACTGAAAAGTTGACTTTAATTAAATTATAGTGCTAAAAGGAGAAAAAAGGAGGCTTATAATGAAAGAAAATGACTAAATGCTTTAACAGAAATAGTGACTTACACAAAAAGGTGCATCACTGGGTTACATTACATCGGGTTCCCTCTGCAGTTTAGCTGATTAACTGCCGCAATACCTGACTGTTTTAAATGTTTGCACACGTCCAACAGTCTTCTTTTTTTTTTAGCCTTGTGCTTTCAAAAAACATTTTATTGTAAATGAATGATGTTACATCTATGACATGGTGTCGGCAGCTTGAGTGCATGCATTATTAAACCATAGAGCTTTACTGCTTGCGCCTCATGCGTTGGAGGTAAAGAAGTAGGCTACCAGCAGTGACGTTAGACGTCTCCACATGAGTCAGAACATTTTCCCTGCGCTCAGCTGGAGAGCCACTATTAATAGACTGACTGACTACCTTCAGACGATGCTCCACTTCACCCAGCATCCCTCTATTAGCCATCTTACACAGCAAATATATACATCAAAAAAGAATGTTTTAAAACAAAAAAAGGAGTTTGACTTCCTGTGATCACCGGTTTTACGTGTCTATGTATACACTGTAGTACCCTAGCCTGGAGAGCTTTACCCTCACCTTAGTTTTGGATCAAACCTGTACTTGTGATGCCTGTCTCTTAAATGTGGAGGTCATGCACCAGAGCAGGTCACTTTAGCAAAACATGAAATCTCTGGTATGCTGTGATCTTTCTGTGTGAGCCCCAGCTATCCTCTCCACCTCTGCCTGCTCCACATTCACAGTTGGTTTCCCACAAACTATTTTCTGATCTTTCAACTGGTTTATTTATGGCTCGAACATATTTCATCCTCAATATGTCACGAGATACAACATTATAAAGACAGGGACCCGTTGGTTGCCAGGCAACGTCAGAGTGACGACAAGACAAGAAATAGCCTGAGAAATAAACCGTATAACCACCACAGCTGGAGCAAATGAGCCTTAAAGCTGCTGCAAGGGTTTTTTGTGCAAAGTTAACCAGCTGTAGGCTTTAGCTTGATATTTACAGTTACATCAATCTTCTCATCTCACTCATGGCAATGAGATTTGATCATCTCTTTCTTATTTGTTGTTGTAAATGCACCTGCCTTGGTCCTTTCTATAGAATGTTACAGTTTTATGAAGAAACACTTTTTATAGAACAAAATAAGAAGCGTGTAGAGATGTAACCTGCAGGAGCCATTTGGCTGCCTGGCTCCATGTGTGATGGTACAGCAGCTGATAGACTCGGGGAAACAAGAGCAGGCAGTAAACGTGTAGAGAGTGCCATCAGGGCTGACAGACTTCCACATAAACACATGCAGTGGAAGGATAACATCCATGTGTTCACTCTGCAAGAACACATGAATATATTGAGATGAATAAGACCCCAGTCCGGCTGAGGATTTGGGATCACACTGACGTGATGCGTCCCATTTAAGGGACGTTTCTAATAGTGCTTTTGGTGCACATTAATCAATATGGTACTTTTCATGTGGAGACTCTGTTACTGTTCAAGTTTACATTTATTTTCCATGAACCAGTCTTTAAACACTACCAGACTGTGTTCCTGTTAGTGTTAACTTCCTGTCTGTCTTCTTCTGCTGATTTCTCTGTTGTCCAGCTCTCTGAGTCTTTAACCTCTTTCTCTGTTTTGTATTACTGGGGACAGTTGAACCACTTTTAAACCAAAGTGTCCTGTTCTAAACAAACGTACAAAAATAAAATTTCAAAAGGAATCCATGGAGTTTTCAACACAACACAAATGAAAAAACCCTCTTAGTTATGAAGCCCCAACTATGACCTTCAGAGTCAAATCATTGGTTAAATGAAAACCCACCTGTGTGCAATCTAAGTGTCACATGTTCTCTGATATCAACTCCATATCTGTAGAGAAATAGCCCTCTCTGATTAATGCAACAAAGACCAAATATTACCCTGAAGGAGCTGGAAAGCTCCACAGCATAGATCGGAGTGTCTGAACAGGAACACTTCATGCCATGCCCTCCACAGAGTTGGGCTTCATGGGGGAGTGGCCAGAAGAAAAACATTGATTAGATAAATATGGCTTTTGCTAAAAGGCATGTGGAAAAAACAACTATTTTCAGATGAGACTAACATCTGACTTGTTGGCTGTCAAGGAAAACACAACCACATCGCCTCTCATCCCCATGACAACACCATCACCACAGTGAAGAATGGTGGGGTCAGCAACATGATGTTGGGATGTTTTTCATCCGCAGGGACTGGGTAACAGGTTATGATGGAATTATAAGGAATGATGAATACAAATAAATGCATAGCATAGTGCTAGAGCAACGCTCATGTGGTTTAAGGTGGAACATCTGCATTTCTTGGAATGGCCTGGTCAGAGCACACACTTCAATCTAATTGAGAATCTGTGGTATGACTTAATGACTGCTGCTCACCTGGAACTCATCCAACCTGAAGGAGCTGGAGCAGTTTTGGCAACAAATATCATTGGATATATGTGCCAAGCTTATAGAGACATACCCAAAGATACCTGCAGCTGTAACTGCAGCAAAATGTGGCTCTACAGGTTGATGACTGGGGGGAGAATACTAATGCACGCTCATGTTTGTTTAAATATCTTTGCATCTTTAAATGTGGTAGCATGTTGTGTACATCAAAGACTATAATCTCTCCAGAAATCAAATTAAAAAAAGTATTTTATGCAATTCAATAGAAAAAACACCAAGGGGGGAATACTGTCGCAATGACACATCTCAATCCCACCAACTGTGTTGTACAGAGTTGTTTGTAAAAAGAAAATCACACTATGATCATTTCAACATATTTTTCAGTGAAGTGTTTCAACAATAATATTTTCCTCTACCGCAAATCATGTCACAATTGCAATATCAGTGAAAATAATCACAATTATTTTTCCCAAATCGTGTAGCCCTATGATCTAATCTGGCAGATTTGTCTATGGACAGAAAGCGTAACCATATGTGTCTTTAACTTTACTCTTGTTCCAAAAGGACATGTGCATATACAGAACACTCTGCTCACGGCCCCGTCCTGCTCTCTGCATATACCAATATCTCTGCAGCATTATTACTGTTTGTCTTCATTTCTGAAGTATTCCTCTCTGTGGCTCTTCCTCTCTGCCCCCCCCCCCCCCCCCTGCAGCTGATTCAGACTCTTAAGAGGCTGATGAGACCGGCTGTAGTGGATTTCAAGTCCCCACTGGAGCTGTCTGCAGAGGGTGAGAGCACTACACACACATGACTCATTTTCTGCTGGCTAATACACAAATATGTGTATTATACCCATGCCCATTAGGGTGGCATGCACAACAAAAAACATATATCCAGAATGTGTAGTGAATCTGCTCTGTTGGCATCACCTCCTCACTCTGAGTGTTAACAGAGGTCATTATTCAACAGCAGTAAGCGGCTCAGCTACAGTGTGAGTGGCTTATCGTCAGGAAACATGCAGGTGTGAACTCACACGTATCCTCATCAGTCATTTCCCCACATCTATTGATGCAATGCTCATTATTTTCCTATTCAAATGGTTATCGCCTCTATGTGTTTTCCCTCTCTCTGCATGAACTTCCTCCCTTTCCTCTCCATACCTGTACTGTGAAGAAGCATTCAGAAGAAAGTGTGTTTTAGTCACATGACTGTACTGAGGACAAATTATGATCAGTCTTTGGGACTAACGGATTAAAGGTTACGAGATAATGTAGGATAAAAAAAGGTAACTGTATGTTACTTGCTACATAAAATAGGATAACAATACACTACATTTTAAAATAGAGATGAATGTTTCTAGGTGGACGTTCTGCCTTCTTTTTTTAAATGCAGTAGATAGACCCACAAAAACACTGTTTAATTTGAATTCATGTTTTAATCTAGTAAAGCACTTCTAATAGTTATTCTGTAGGCTATAATTCATTTATAATATCGCATTTCAGATACTAAATATCTTGGTTTCTCTTTTTCTAAAGTTACGTTTGTAACGATCAACTATCAAAAATAGCTGTGTTAAATAAACGCACAAGGGGTTCTTGATATGAAATAATATTATAAAAGCTAAATAGAACTGATAACTGATAACAACCTGTCCTTCACTGCAAACATCGCTGCTACAACCCGTTGCTGCAGATACACGCTTTACAACATCAGGAAGATACGTCCCCAGCTGACTCAGAAAGCGACGCAGGTTCTGGTCCAGGCTCTCGTCATCTCACGCCTAGACTACTGCAACTCCCTCCTGGCTGGTCTACCTGCATGTGCCATCCGACCTCTGCAGCTCACCCAGAATGCAGCGGCTCGTCTGGTCTTCAACCTTCCTAAATTTTCCCACACCACTCCGCTCCTCCGCTCCCTTCACTGGCTTCCGGTAACTGCTAGAATCCACTTCAAGACACTGGTACTTGCTTACCATGCTGCGAATGGATCTGGCCCTTCCTACATCCAGGACATGGTTAAACCGTACACCCCAGCGCGTGCACTACGCTCTGCATCAGCCAAACGACTCGTTGCGCCCTCGCTGCGAGGGGGACCCAAGTTCCCATCGGCGAAAACACGTGGGTTTGCTGTCCTGGCTCCAGGATGGTGGAATGAGCTCCCCATTGACATCAGGACGGCAGATAGCTTGCTAGGGATGGGTATCGTTTGAAATTTATCGATTCCGATTTCGATTCCGGTTCTGCTTATCGATTCCGGTTCTTATCGATTCCCCGTTTCGATTCCAAAATTGTAAAATAAAGAGGTCAAACGTTTAGATAACAAAAATATATTTATTCTTAAAAGCTTTAACTGAAATTGTTACTAAAAAATGTACATGCAATACAAATGTATTGCACAATAGCTGTGCTTTATTTTAACTGAGCTATGCCTGTGGCAAGCTATTAACAGGCATTACACTTTGCCTTTTATTTTTTAGTGTAGTGGAGCCTCACTTCAGAGTGTTTACCGCGACCTATCTTTGGTGTTATGAAGTGACTGAGCTCGTGAAATGTCTACGGGAGGGCGGGGGAGCATCGCTGCGGGGCAACTGTGGACCTCTGTCGCCTGTCAGCGCAATTTATATGATGCCGTTTAAAAAAATGAAGGGCGGTGCCGGCCGTCAGCGTACCGAGCCGGCCGTCAACGGCCCGCTGACGACCGGCCGTTCTGTGATTCTCCAGGTCCGCCCTGTATTCCACCGGGTCACCGCAGCACCGCGGTGCAGACGGACCCGCTGGAATACAGGGTCTACCGCGTTTAGGAACCGTTAAGCAGAACCGAAATTGTGTATTTTGTATGGGTACCCGGTACCCGGCATTTTCTTATCGGTTCTCATCTGGAACCGAGTTTCGGTTCCCAACCCTATAGCTTGCACATCTTCCGGCGCAAACTGAAAACTCATCTCTTTCGACTCCACTTCGAGCGATAGAACTATTAACGAAGCACTTTTATACTAATAAAGGACTGGCTTATCTAAAGCCAGTTGAGTAGCACTTGAAATGTTTGGCTCTATGAAACCTGATGTACTTATATGATTCTGTTTTCTTCAAGGTTGTGTCTTCCTGGTCGAATGTACTTATTGTAAGTCGCTTTGGATAAAAGCGTCAGCTAAATGCAATGCAATGTAATGTAATGTAATAAACGGAAACTTTACTCTTTCCACAAAAATATTCCCCACGGAAGTGTATTTACTAGGGCTGTCAAGTTAACGCGTTAATAACGCGTTAACGCAAAAAATTAACGCCACTAATTATTTTAACGCGATTAACGCATGTGTATTTTTTTTCCTCGGCCGCCCCGTAGTTTCAGAGCGCATCGAGTTTAAAATACCATCTACAAGCTGATGCTGACAGCCCCGCTCCTGCCGCCCGCTTGTGGCAGACCACACTTCCACGCTCACCGGCAGGCACCGACTGGCTATTGGGAGGACCGGGAGGGTGTGTGTATGTGTGGCCCGAGCGAGCGAGAGAGAGACCTTGCGTGCATTGTTGTTGTTAGCATCTGGTGCTAGCTAGCTGCGCTAACGGATCTAAGGAGCTGTTTAAATGAAAACAGAGGAGCGACATTTCGCCACAACTGCGCCGAGCACTTGACTTTATGCAGGAAGCCAGACAGTGGGACATTGTACGAAAAGTCAGCACACTCAGCACGGATAGTGCGCAACATGATTGCAGCGTCCAGGCAGCTCCCATTCGAGCATATGCCTTGAGTTGCACATAGCTCCAACGCACGCACGCGTGCGCACACACACACACACACACACCCACACACACACACACACACACACACACACACACACACACACACACACACACACACACACACACACACTTTGTATTGTATTATTGTATGAGAGAGGTTCCAGGTTGAATTGAGGCGAATATTTGTAATGTTCAGAGGTTGTTGTGTTTAATATTCATGAGAATATTTGTCATTGTTCAAATGATAATAAACATTAGCATAAAGCATATTTGTCCACTCATATGTTGATAAGAGTATTAAAAACTTGAAAAATATTCCTCTAAGGTACATTTAGAACAGATAAAAAATGTGCGATTAATTTGCGATTAATCGCGATTAACTATTTTAATCGACTGACAGCCCTAGTATTTACTACTGTCTACTTCCACACATTCACAAAATAAGGGGGTCACAGGTTCAAACCCCTCTGCAGTCAGCATGTCGTTGTGTCCCTGAGACATTTCACCCCAAATTGCTCCTGTGGTGATTTTCCACAGTATTGAGTATGTAAGTTGCTTTGGATAAAAGTGTCTAAAAAGTAATACACATTCGCCACACACACACTTCCTCCTCCTGTGAGAACCAGCCCTCTGGGCGCACCGCGATAGGTGAATATGTAGATGAGGCTTAATGACCCACACCCTCAAACCGTACATAACAGTAGACATTAACAACTGCAGTTGCGAGGTTAATAGTGTAGCGACCCTGTATAGGGTGCTGAGTGTGTCACTCAAGCATCCCCGTCTCTCTGCCAATCACAGAGCTGCAGTGATGCTGGTCGAGGTGCGGGCCTGTGGTTGGGGGAGCAGAGGGGGGAGGGCGGGGACATTGTGACGTAGACACTACTATATATGGGTGTGAGTTGGGGTGTAGAGTTCAGTGTGAGGATACACCTGCAACCTGTACATGTAACCTGTGTCCGTGTGTGAACAAAGGAGTTAATAAACCCTCCATAACTTGAAGCCTGTTTCCGACTCCCTTTGTAGAACGCTACATTGGTGTCAGAAGTGACTTTTTCGAACGAAGTCTATCCTGACGGGAGCTCGTAACTGCGTCACGGAGCTAGCCGGTGAGCTAGCGGAGATGGATGAGTTCAGCAAGATGGGAGTGAAGCAGGAAAATAGTGACGGGGAGGAGGATGGAGCATGTGGGTGGTCGAAGGACATGAGTAGGGAGTTCAAGAGTGCATGGGAGGCGAGAGAGCGCCTGAGAGAGTCGGCGGTGAGGATGGCTAGAGACGCGGGAATGTCGCCGTCCTCAGCGGCGTTTCGCGCCATTGACAAGCTGGATGTTAACAACAATGGCGGCGCCCAGCAACCAGTAGCAGCCGCCGCGTCCGTGAAAACACCCAAATACTCGGGTAAGACAGACTGGGAGGCTTTCCATGCCCAATTTGAGCTGCTAGCACATGCCGGGTCGAGGCTCTTTCATGCCTGCTACTACTTAGCCCTGAGGACCGACACAGCTATGAAGCGTTAGCGGGGGCTTTGAAGAGGCGGTTTGGACAGTGTTTCCCGCCAGAGCTGCTCCAGAATGAATTGAGTAACTGCTGTAGGAAGTCTGGAGAGACGCTGCATGTGTTGGCTAACGACGTGGAGAGTCTGACGCGGCGGGCGTATGCACACATGCCACCCGGAGTGCAGAGTGAGCTGGCACGGGATCAATTCATCAGGGCTCTCCTCCCTGCGGACTTGAGGGTCGAGGTACAGCTGCAGCATCCACAGTCCTTGCAGGCGGCCTTGGAGATGGCTGTGCAGAGAGAGAATGTGTGGAGTGTAGCTGCTAGGAGCAACGGAGGGCCGGTACCACCGGCTGTGAGGAGCTGCAGAGAGGAGGAGAAGCCTGCATGGGTTGCCGAAGTGACTGAACTGATAAGGGCTATGTCTCTGCAGCTAACACGCAGGCCAAGTACCAGGGTCTGCTGGGGGTGGGGATTCCTGTTATGTTCCTGTCACTGTGGAAGGGGTGCCCTGCACTGCACTGGTGGACACAGGCTCTACAGTAACCCTGGTGAGAGCAGATGTGTTGCCCAGTGGGACTATTTTAGAACCGACAGTGGTGCGTCTACGCACAGTCACAGGAGAGCTGGCACCTATGAAAGGAAAAGACATGCTGATTGTGTCGGTGGGGGAAGTTGAAGTGTATCATCCAGTGTGGATAGCGGATGTACAGGACCCGTGCATTCTGGGCTTGGACTTTTTGAGGGCGACTGGTTGCCACCTGGATCTTCAAGCAGGCACAGTGAGCTTCCACGGGGGGCCTGTGATCCCTATGACCCGTATCCACACCCCTGCTGAGCCTGCGGGGAGACCCCCTACACACCCCGTGAGTACCCTAGAAACTGAAGAAAATCCTCCCTCCTTACCCTTATCCCTGGTGACGCCCACTCAGGGCAATTCCGCACCTGTCACCCCTGGCCTGTGCAACCCGATCACAGCCCCCCCCCCCCGGTTACCCCAGACTGGGGTGGAAGTGGCTCAGTCTTCAGTATTGGAGGTGTGGAGGAAGAACTGTGGCGGGCTTAATCCCGAGCAGCAGGAGCAATTGTGGCAGCTGCTGCTAGAGTTCCAGGGCAGTTTTGCCATGAGCAAGGAGGAGGTGGGGCAAACTCATCTGGTAGAACACGAGATTGATACAGGGGACTCGCGCCCCATCAAGTGTCGCCCGCGCCGACTTCCCCTGGCTTGTCAGCAGGCTTGCGACGAGGCAGTGCAGAGCATGCTGCAGGCAGACATCATCGAGCCCTCCGGCCCACGGGCAGCACCTGTAGTCATGATCCCAAAGAAGACAGGTGGCTGGCGGCTGTGCTCAGACTACAGGCCGGTGAACGGGGTAACCAAGAAGGATTCATACCCCCTTCCCCGCATCGATGAGTCCCTGGACCTGGTCTCAGGGCCGTCGTGGTTCTCTTCCTTGGACCTCCGCAGTGGGTATTACCAGGTCCCTCTTGCCCCAGAGGCCAGACCAAAAACTGCTTTCTGCACCGGGCGGAGGCTGTGGCAGTTCAAGGTCCTCAGTTTTGGGCTTTGTATTGCCCCTGCCACCTTTGTGCGGTTGATGGACAGGGTGCTGTCTGGTATTCCCCGTCAGCAGGGCTTGGTTTACCTGGACGACATTCTGGTGCATGTCAGCTCGTTTGAGGCGGCCCTGGGATCTCTACGAGTGGTGCTGGAAAGGATCAGAGCCTTTGGCTTGAAGCTACACACAGAGAAGTGCCATTTCATGCAGAGAGAGGTCACTTTCCTGGGCCACAAAGTGGGGGGCAAAGGCATCGGCACCCTGCACGAGAAAGTGCAGGCGGTCGCAGACTGGCCTAATCCTCGCAACCAGAAGCAGCTGAAGAGTTTCCTGGGCCTGGCCTCGTACTACAGGAAATTTGTACGGGGTTTTGCTTGCACTGCTGCACCCCTGTTCCAGCTGCTACAGAAGGACAGGGATTTAGTTTGGACTGAGCAATGTCAAGCAGCGTTTGAAAGCCTTCGGCGTGCCTTGAGTGAGGCCCCGGTTCTCGCCCCAGCCAACCCCATTCTGCCGTTCACCCTGGACACAGACTCGTGGCGTGGGTGTAGGAGGAGTGCTCTCGCAGACTACACCAGAGGTGGAGCGGATGGGTGGTAGCGTACTTCAGCCGGGCGTTCAACAAAGCAGAGCGACCATACTGCGTCACTCGTAGGGAACTCTTGGCAGTGGTGCTGTCCATCAGGCACTTTAAATACTACCTGTGTGGCCAGGCGTTCACGGTGAGGACTGATCACTCTGCATTACAGTGGCTCATGACATTCAAGGAGCCAGAAGGGCAGGTCGCCAGGTGGTTAGAAGAGCTCCAAGCTTTCGACTTCAAGGTGGAGCACCGAGATGGGGTGCGTCACACAAATGCAGACGCTCTCTCCCGCCGCCCGTGTGCCACCGACGGATGCCACTACTGTGAGAGGAGAGAGACTCGTGAAAAGGAGCTGCTGGAGGAGGACACCGTCTGTGCGGCAGCTCGGCAAGTGGAAGAGGTTATTTGCCGGGAGCTCCAGACAGTGGATGTGGCAGAGTAGAAGCAACAGCAAGAGCTGGACGCCGTCCGACAGCCTGTACTGCAGTGGGTCGAGTTGCAGCAGCGGCCACCGTGGGAGGAAGTGGCAGTGTTCTCCAAAGCCACCAAGGGGCTGTGATCTCAGTTTGAGGCTCTGCGTCTGTCAGGGCGTACTACTACTACCAGCAGCATTTCTTGTTGGGAGAATGGCTGAACTCCTTAGGTATAAAATACCAATGCAATGAGTTTACACCATGATCTGTACACCATCTGCACTGAAAACACTGAAACACTGACTATGTCAACAAATATCATATAAGGTTAGTTGAAAGCAATAATATTAAGTTGAACCTAATCTTTTTTATTGAAACGTACTATTATTCCTTTAACTAACCTAATACAATTATGTGTTATTATACACTGACTTTAATTAAATGTATGATGTCAACAGATTTCACATAACTGTATTTGGTTAGTTGAAAGCAATAATATTAAGTCTAAATACAAAATATTAGGTTAAACTTAATATTATTGCTTTCAACTAACCCAGTGGTCTGCAACCTGCGGCTCTTTAAGCCCTCTGCTCTGGCTCCCTTGAGCTTAAACAAAAATAAAAGTATTTGTAGGACTATTTATATTTTGTTGCATGGTTGAAAATGTTTCGTATCTTGTATTCTGAGGTGATACTGTGACACATAAATAAAAACAAAACGGTTTTAATTAGGTCAACTAAAATATGCGTCACATCCTGCTACGGTCCCGCACCAGCGCCTTTTCTTGCAGGTGAATAACCTGACCCCCGGCTCGATGAGAGAACTATGGATAAATCAAAGAAAAGTATGGGAGGAACAGAGGGTTTAATTCTGCGTGGTTAGAGTTATATGCTTTCACAGCAAATTATGCTGGTTTACCGGTATGTTTGATATGTGGAGAGAAGTTGTCAAAGGTGCTGCAGCCTTTACGTATCGAGGAGAAAAACGGAAGAGGAAGACAGCTGATGATCTTCAGTCATAATTCAATCAGTTAACTGTTAGGTTGCGTGGAAAAGGTAGGACCCAAATGCAGTATTAACAAAAAGCGAGCTTTATTTTACAAAAAGCCGATGACAAAAGAAAACAAGAAACAAACTTAACATTACCAAAACACGGGAGCACGAGTAAAGAATCCAGGATCAAAACGTCAAGGACAAACATGGAGCGTGACGTGAAGGGAAGACAAACAATGAACCGGCATGAAGCACAGGGGAAGACAAGACTAAATACAGAGAGGGGTAATCACGGGGCAAGAAACAGCTGGGTAAGGGAGGGAGAAACACAAGGGCAACAGGTGAAGACAATCAGACACACCAGGGAAACTAACGACAGGAAGGCACACACAGGGGCCGTTTCTCAATCGCGAGGATTTTGGCTTCCAAGCCAATATTTCAAGGATGCTACGTCATTGAGTGCCGCCGAAGGACTGTTCCAATCTCCAGCATACTTGGAATTCCACCGAGGCCGCGTCCTTGGTTTGGGGGAAATGTTGAGGCTGCACATGGGTAGACTTTGCGTCCTTAAAATCCCCACAATGCTTTGTGCACGGACCAATTTCAAAAACCCTTGCGGAGAATTTGGCTGAACCGACGCAGCACACATTTAAATGTAAGTATGTAGTGGCGTAGAACATGTGTTGGTAAATATGTTACTTTGTTACATTTGTTTGTTACCACCAAAAATGTGTTCTGTGAAAGTAAAGCTAGTTCATAATTAGATAGACATCGTGAGGTATTTATTTTCGGTACAGTTTATGTTGAAACCGTTAGAGAGAGTGGCACACTTGTTAGCCTGTTCCATTCTTCTTCGTTTTCCGAAGCCGTGGCTTGGAAGTATACTAGCTTCGTTTCTGAAGGAAGTGACTTGGAAGTACGCGACTACCAAGCCAGCATCCTCGCGATTGAGAAATGGCCAGGAAGTAGGACCAGACAAGACACAAGGAGGAAAACATGAGACAGGGAACACAGAACAGCAAAATAAACCCAAAACTTAACACATGAAACTCAAATCATTACATTAACTATTTTTAGGGTGCAGCTATATGTTTTATTTATTTCAATGTGGGCCCATTTTAATTTAATTTATTTTCCTTCAAATGTGCAGAGGACTCCCCAAGTGCTGTGTTGATTAATTTTAAAGTAGGCCTGTGCATTTCTTTTGTGTATTTCTCCTTATAAGAGTTATTTGTTTATTATTAGAGGTTAACAGTTTTCTATAATGTAATAAATGCAAATAAACTCTAGTTTTTGTCTATGATATAACAATATATACAACTTTATAAGCTATCAAGCTATTACATACATTTTGCAGCTCCAGATAAAAGAAATTGGTGGAACGGGGCAAAATGGCTCTTTTGGTCCAAAAGGTTGCAGACCCCTGAACTAACCTAATACAGTTATGTAAAATCTGTTGACATAATATATTTAATTCAAGTCAGCGTTTCAGTTTATTCCGTGTGCAGTATAAAGCACACTCATGTAATCTCGTTTTTTCCTTGGTCGTTTTGTGTCTGCAGGCAAAGAGATGATCGAGATGTACTTTGACTTCCGTCTGTTCCGCCTGTGGAAAAGCCGTCAGCACTCCAAGCTGCTGGACTACGAAGACCTCTTGTGATTTGATCCACGTTGGCTTGTTGGCCGGTTATCTCCCTTGTGAGCCTGCTGAAGGGCTGAGGCCTGAGAGGCTCTGTGCACAGCTGGATATTTTTCCCTCTGGAGCGACAGGGTGGCCCTGTAGATTCAGCCCAGCAGTGTACTTTTTCTCCCTTACCGATTTTCACTTTCTGCCTATCTCAGAGAAAAGAGAAAGAGGGGGACAAGAAAAAGGAGGAGAGGCGCAGGACTCATCATCCTAAAGAAGATGCTTACTGCAGTTAGACTCCTGAGGATGTTAAGCGTAACGAGGGACAGCTGAGAACAGGGAGAACTCTCTTTTCTTTCTTAGCCAACCTATCTGCTGCTTTAAGATGGAGGCGTATAAGGATGGTGGTGTTTTCTTTATCAGGTGTGTGCTTACTGCAGCCTTAGAAAATAGATGTCCAGCATCTATCGCTACGTGAAAATACAGGCTTTAGTCTTACTAATTAATTAAAAGTTGTGTTTTTAACACAGCTTTAAATAAATGTATTAGGATTCCGTAGAGACTGTTGTATTGACTCAGGTTCAGTCCCTTGTTTGATACTGACAATTGTCCTCACCGTCGGCACATACTGTAGATCCTTCATACTTCACACACAGTCATCCTCAGTGAACGCTATGACTGTCAGGGATGTCATATTTTAACCTTGAGGGAAAAGAGATTGTTTCCTTTAAGTCTTTCAGGTCAACCATACATTCATGTTTGATCACTTTACTGCATCGCATTAGACCAACACAGCCGACCGTTTGGGTTGCACGTGTGCTCTTGAATTTATTTATTTTCTGCGGATTTGATGAGAAACCATGAAGACTTCCTGCCCCTCATTTGTTTTAGATTAAAGTTGAGGGATGATTCAGGGGAGGAATTTCATTGTAATTTATATTCTTATTATATCTACTATTACTATTATTTGATATGTGCCATTCGTTAACACATGCTTCCAGTAAGCTTTCCTGTGCACTGTAAATGGCTGAGTGTTTGAGCATTACCTATATATCCTCATTGCCATTGAAGATATAAGACAGGCTATTAGATATTATTGAAGTAGATAAATGTCTTAATGATACTGTTATTTAGTGTGTTACAATACTCGCTGCTTTGGAAGTGTGTCTAATACCGGGTTGAAGCCCTTTAGGTACACTTAATTGTATTAGGTTACTGTAGTTGTAAGCATAATATTAAGTTTAGATAAAAAAATATTAGGTTCAACTTAATAGTATTGCTTTCAACTAACCTTATATGAAATCTGTTGACATAATACATTTAATTAAAGTAAACATTTGAGTTATTTCAGTGTAGATGAAGGACGAGGCTACATACTGTCACAGCCGGTTCTGATTTACTGTCAGAATACTGAATCTGTATACAAATAAGAGTATTTTGGTATTCAATTTGTCAGACGAGACTGGTTAACTTTCAGAGCCCAATTGCAGCACAGGTTTCATAATGACCAAAGTATAAAACAGCTGCTATTTCTAATTTAGGTAATTTAGTAAAGAGTCTTATTACTGCAAATTCTAAACTGTATTTTATTTATGATATGTCTACTGCACTCTGCTGCTTACAGTTTCTCTTATTTCATTCAATTTCCAATGGCTTCCACTTTGCCATCTTTCGTGTGTGGGGAAGTAGGGTTTTGTTAGCAACAAAAATCATTCATATGTGTCGCAAGTTTGGTTCAACAGAATAATCTAGAGATATTTATACCACTTTTAGGTTTTTTTAAGTTTATAAGCTAACGTTAGGCTATAAACAAGCTACATCACGATTTCAAGGCTGCAGATTGTCACCGCTAAGCTAAGGACGGCTAATGCTTGAAAATGCATGATGACATTTGGAGGTGGTAGAAGTACTCAGATCTTGTACTTGAGTAAAAGTAGAAGTACTCAGGTCTTGTACTTGAGTTAAAGTAGAAGTACCAGAGTATAGGAATACTCTGTTACAGTAAAAGTCCCTCAATCAAAATGTTCCTCAAGTAGAAAGTATTCTCATCAAAATATAGTGAAAGTAGCGACAGTAAAAGTAGTCGTTGTTTGATTGGTCCATTTCAGAATAATATATATGATATGTTTTATAATGATTGATCATGAAAGTGTTCTCAAAGCTGCTAAAGGTGCAGCTAGTTTGAATGGCTTTGTATACTGCAGGGTAGCTTGTGGATTTACTCCAGGTGGAACTAAAGTCTGATTTAACACTTGATTAGATTTCACATCATTCATCCACATCTGTAAAGTAACTAAAGATATTAAATAAATGTAGTGGAGTAATAGTGCAATATTTACAAAATTGTTCTTAAGTACAATACTTGAGTAAATGTACATAGTTACTATCCACCTTTGGTTATCTAATTCAGACACTTGTTAGATACCGCCGTTTTTATGACACGTATAAGCTTTAGACATTTATGAGTGGAGTGTTTACTGACGTATTTCACGTTTTAGAACCAAACGTGAAAATCTCCTCAGCTTTTGTTGATGAACATGTTTATTTCCGCCTTTTAACCACAAACACACTAAATATACCATTGGCTTTAAGATGAGGGAACCGGAAGTGCTAACTCATTTACGAGTTTTAGGACTCATTCCTGCCCCCCTTTATCTAGCTACCATCAATACAAAAAGTCAACACTTACATGGATGGATTTAGTGTCGTGGAAATGTACACTATGCTGAATGCCAAATCAATATCTTGGTAAAATCATGTGAAATGTTGCAGGTTGGTCCATGTCTGCAAAGTATTCCCTTTTGTTTGTGCTGGCCATGAAATCTGCAATTATTGCAACACTGACTTTATTTCAAATGTGTTAGTAGAGTATATCTCTTATTGCCAGTAGGTGCTCTTGATAACATTGCTTGTTCACTAAATGTATACAACACTTAAATATTCATTCATGTTTAATTAAACAGCACGGCCCTTTCTCTTTGGACTGGTGCATTGTAGCGCAGATGCTAACGTTTCTCAGAGGCTGTCTTCTGCTCCTGCAAAATCAACTATGCTGTGTTTGCTCAGTGAGCTCTTTGCCTAGAAGTAGGATCTGTGCGTGTTATTGTGTGCATATTCAGGATTTTGCCTCATTCTGAAATGTATTTGTTTAAGCTCTCCAAATCTTCCTCCTGTAGCAATGTGTGAATATTCCTGTATGATTTTTCTAAATCTGTAAAATGTACAAGATAGAGAACATTGTTTAAGGTATTGTATTGGTCTTTAAGATATAAGGATTTAAATGTTGTTGATAAACTGTGGATGATGAAAGGAAACCTGACTGCATGTACAGCATATATATTTATATAGAGGACTGTTCCGCTTTCTCCTCTGCCACAAACCCCCGAGCCTACTAACATGGCTGCTCAATTCTACTGCATTTCACCACGACGCATATAATCTGCTGCTGTGTTTGGATAAAAAGCAAGTGTAGTTAAATTAAGAACATTGCCAAGAGCTTCATGAGTTCCTAATCATTTTTACGATAACAATGAAAATAATTTTTGCTGAAGATTCCTGATAAGGTCTCATGTTGTAGCCCACAGCAACACTGGTAACATTGTGAAAGAGCCCAACAATAGAGTGTTAAGATGCATTCTCATGAAACGCGGTAAAATGGCGCTGGCTTTGTGTTTGAAAGGGGAGAGTTCTGCCATCAAACTACGAGGAAGAGTTACCTTCGGCACCGCGCACTGTTAGAAACTGTCGTCTAGCTCGAAGTTCAAATCTTTCAACTTTGACTTTGATTGCCGCTAACCTTTATAACAGCTGCACAAGCTAGCAGGGGAGGTAACCATAGAAACAAACTAAACTGGCTGTTTCACCTCAAGCCTCTGTGCTCAACCTCGTGGTGAGCAAAGAGCCAACGTGTATAATGTGAATGCAGCTTTAGAAAGCAAACTGTATCATTAGCACTAGCTGGCTAACTTAGCTGATAACATGGTCCAAAACACAACATTAGCAGTGTTCTGTTCAGTTATGTGAAGCATTTTGGAATCAAGGCTTGCTAAGGACAACATAAACTACACTTTAATCACCCGACCAATAGTATTTATGGTTCTATTCCCAAAATAATGTAAAGTTGAAATTAAAAGTAACACGGCAAGGATGTAGGACTTCTTTAATAAAAGCATGCATATTACACATTTAAACATTTACATTTTTTGCCCTGAATTTGTTACTACTAAAACTAAATTGGTTTGATATACTAGCTATGTCAATTTGATATTTCTCCTAATCCTCTTTGGTCTAACATGTTAAGACTCAAGATCGACATACTGTCACATAAATGACTTATGGCGAACATAGCAAAACCTTTTATCGAGCTCACAGAAAGCAACATCATCATACATTTGAAGTTGTAGGCTTGGTCGCCTTACACTTAAATAAGTCTTGTTTGTTTGTTTTTTTCATGTGATTAGCGAAACCCTCAGAATTTGCATTAATTGCCAGTAAAATGACGGTGAACATTTTAACCTAAAAAGTACCCAGATAAGTTGCTCTCATATATAAGCTAAAAACCTCAGTATGGATTAGAGGAACATGAGAGTGATAATTATTAGTGGGTTTGTTGTAACACAGTCATTTGACACATGTGCGTACAGTAGGAGCATTGGAGAAAACGGGACAAAGTGAGTTGGCAGGATAACCTCTGAGTCGTGAAGGGACAATCTTGGCAACATTGTTTGGACTTTGGGACAGCACATAAGCCACAGACATAAGTATCTCAGAAGTCAGCAGACTCTTTAAAGAGGACTTGTATTTATAATAACGCAGTTTGAGCAAGCGAGCGATACACAGTTTGACATTAAACCCGCCACTTCTATTCCCATAGAATATAATTACACAAATCAAGACATTGATCTTTGAACGCGTCCTGTTATTTCCCAAAGGAAACAGTGTGTCACCATTATGCAAAGAGGACATTTCCCCCAGTTTGATGGATTATTAATAAACTGGGTTGTGACTTCCCTGCTGCTGTTGCTGGTTTTGTGAAGACTGCGTGACTGAGTTTGATGAGGGTGATGGATTGATTGCCCTGACACCTCTAGTCAAACTGGGATTGTATTTTGGGAAGAGTGGAAAATAATGTGTTTACATAACGTCTGTTTCACTTTGCATCAACTTCTAAGTCTTTTAACTGCGCATTTTGGAAACATTTTCTTAGACTAACAGACTAAACCAGATAACGGTAATATAAGGTTCAAGGGTTAATCATCCATGTGTCTTGATATAAAGTATTGTTGATTATAGAAGGTACAATAGCAATTAACATTACCGTGTATCTGGTGATTTTGATACTAGGAAAAGTTAATAATAGTGTTGGGTTGTTCCTCAGAGACACTATAGATGGAACTTTAATCCAATTTGTGTCTGAACTACTGTCAAGAATATTGTTGCATTGCATAATATTGATTCTAAAAATATTGTTTTGAGGAGTTACGTCATCTCCGTTCACTCCAATGGACCACTTTTTTACAGCAATGGCGGATCGTGGAGCCTCTCAATCGTTCCCCGGAAGTTAGCGCCAAGGCTAGCAGAGCTGTAGAGTTACAGCATAATAGACCGTTCGTGACGGACTTTTAAAAGGTAAGAAGAAGTTTAAAGATTTATATTGCGGATATTATCAGTACATCTGATTCAAATTAACATGTGTATTAAAGGACGTCAGTGGATTAAACCTAAATTAGTAGATTTAGGGAACGTTTACAGATAACAGATTAAACTAGGATACCGAATCAAGTTAGCAACACACGTTGAACAGCCTTTTAATTGTAAATGTCGTTCTCTTAATGTAATTTCGTCCAACGTTGTTGAATTAGAGAAGAGGGGCTTCTAAACGGGATTGTATGCGGGGGTGGAGGGAGTTAAATATTAGATAAATATAACTTTGGTGCGTGTAAGAGTGAGTGTTTTTAGCAAAGCCATATTGTGTCCTTGTGATTATGTTGATTATTACCAGTCTGTATAATGTTGCAGCTCAGCTGATTTTGGATTGATGGCAAAGGGAGAGGGACTTAAGTGAGAGTGAAAACACAAGGTAAGTTTAATACTACTGTTTTATATAAGTAAACACCTTATCTCCCCAAGGCAATTTCCCATCCAATAAGTGTGCTATATAGGTGTGTATAACCTGTCTGTTACTCCCTCTTTCAGCACAAGAACCAGAGGGGGATTCAATGGAGCCTGAATACCTCAGGGTGTCCGCGGGGTCTTAAAAAGTATTAAAAGTTGATAAATCAATTTAGCGAAAATTAAGGCGATTAAAAAGTATTAAACGGCATTTTCCAAGGTATTAAGAAGGTCCACAGCAACGACAACATGAAACACCCTTTAATTTACTGAAACAACATGTCGGGAAACCCCCTCAAGGTGGCCCCATGCATAGCGTGCCATAAAATGCTGCTTCTTATTTTAAGTTTCGTTGCTGTAACGGAGGTGATCTCTGGGCCCATAGATCTCGGCCTCCGTTACGGGTAATATAGAACTAAAAACATTGCACAGGAAGCATGAGAATATATGTAATTGATGTAACTAGTTTGTCTGTCTCTGTTTCCTGGTTTCATGTTAAAAGTGTTCCCCTTCCCCCATGTCTGGGGCTGTTGATTGTGTGCACCTGGTGCCCTGTGTTGTCTCCTCCCGCCCCACCTGTGTCGAATTGCTGATTAGTGTGTGTATTTAGGGTCTGTTGCCCCGTCTGTTTTGAGGCTGGTAGTGTGGGTGAGATCCTTGTGGCTGCTGACTGTGTTCAGAGGAACAGCAATTGAGGCTGTGAATCATGTGCTTATGATTTGAATAAATGCCCACACCGTGTTATATTTTTGGACGTTCTGCCTCTGTCTCCTTGCTTGGTCGGGCCGCTCAATTGTCAGCTTCACAATTGGTGTCAGAAGTGGGATTGACCAAGTGAGGAGGTGAGAGTGATTGAGGAACTGAGGGAGATGATGAGGTCACTCCTGCAGCTTCAGGCAGCAGTTCGCACGGGAAGAGGAACGGGAATCCAGAATAAGAGAGGAACGGAGACTCCGGAGGCAAGACGGCCGATTTGCTAAAGGCTCGACGGGCACTAACTCTGCTGCTAGGGCATCAAAGATCCTGGCGGAGAACCGGAAATTGATGCGGGAGCAGAACGAGGAGATGCGCTTAGTGGAGGAGGCTCGTCTGATACGCCTGGAGGAGGAGAAGAAACTGGCAGAGGAGAAGTTCCGTCAGGAGAGAGAACGTCAGCTGCTGGAGGAGCTGGAGAGACGGAAACGGCGACAGGCAGAGCTCGCGGCCCAGAGGGCCAGAAAGAAGGAAGAAGAATTGCAACAGGAGGAGCTGGTAAAAATCCTGGAGGGGAATAACCGCAAGCTGAAGAGGGAACTTGAGCGAGCGGCCGCTAAGAAGCTGGAGACGGTGAACAGCAGCCTACAGCGTCACAATTGGTGTCAGAAGTGGGATTGACCAAGTGAGGAGGTGAGAGTGATGGAGGAACTGCGGGAGATGATGAGGTCACTCCTGCAGCTTCAGGCAGCTGGTGAGCAGCAGTTCGCATGGGAAGAGGAACGGAGACTCCGGAGGCAGGACGGCAGATTGGCAGGAGGCTCGACGGGCACTGGCTCTGCCGCTGAGCCATCAGAGATCCTGGCGGAGAACCAGAGATTGGTGCAAGAGCAGAAAGAGGAGCAGCTCTGGTTACAGAGGGAAGAAGAGAGGAAGGCAGAAGCATTGAGAACGGTTGGAAAGATGGCGGCGCACACTCAGCAGAATAACAAGACAAGGAAACCTGGAGGAAAGGAGTCGCAGCTTTTGATAATTGCCAAAACTCCGGAGTTCGTCCGGGAGGTGATGGGTTCCAGCGCCGGTGCAGGCAGCGGGGAGTTCCACGTTTACCGGCACCTCCGACGCAGGAAGAAGCGGGAAAAACTGAAGCGCAAAATGCGGATGGCAAAGATAGCCGAGAAGGTCCGTCAGGAGAGAGAGCGCGTCAGACCGCAGAACCAGCAGGAGCACATGGAGAGGAATAAAGGGAAGCTTCTTTTCGACTTCACGGCCCCCCCTGAGGAAGCCAAGATTCCTAAGACATTGTATTTCCTGGGGAGAGGGGTAAGGAAATGTAACGGAGGGGATCTCTGGGCCCATAGATCTCGGCCTCCGTTACGGGTAATATAGAACTAAAAACATTGCACAGGAAGCATGGGAATATATGTAATTTATGTAACTAGTTTGTCTGTCTCTGTTTCCTGGTTTCATGTTAAAAGTGTTCCCCTTCCCCCATGTATGTGGCTGTTGAATATGTGCACCTGGTGCCCTGTGTTGTCTCCTCCCCCCCCCCCCCCCCCCCCCACCTGTGTCGAATTGCTGATTAGTGTGTGTATTTAGTGTCTATTGCCCTGTCTGTTTTGAGGCTGGTAGTGTGGGTGAGATCCTTGTGGCTGCTGACTGTGTTTAGGGGAACAGCAATTGAGGCTGTGAATCATGTGCTTATGATTTGAATAAATGCCCACACTGGGTTATATTTTTGGACGTTCTGCCTCTGTCTCCTTGCTTGGTCGGGCCGCTCAATTGTCAGCTTCACAGTTGCCTTGCTCCGCTCTGTGGGGGGGGGGGGGATATACAGCAGGAGAACACTCCGTCCACCGCGGAGAATAAACAGAAGGGCAACCATGACAACCATGCTCCGGGGTCTTCTTAGCTGCTTTTGGTGTATTTTGTGGCGGCAGCAGCGCCACTTACAGGCCTGGCATATGTACTACAGCGTTTCCAGCATTTCCAGCGGTGTAGTGTGAACGGACACGTTAATGAATTAATACGTGTGAACGGAAGACTTTTTTGCGTTTGCGTATGCGTTTTACTGTATGCGTCCTCGTGGGGCCGGGGTCTAAGCCAAACTATATCCGGTCACAGAGATCTGCTATTTTAAAGTAAGGTCAACACATATGGACCCTAAATATAGTCTATATTAAGAACGAGAAAAGTCTTCATATATATCGTTTTTTGTAAACATATGACAAATGTGTGAGGGTGATGACGTCAGAGCATCGTCCTTTGTGCCGGGCTTAGCCCCGGACAGCCCCAGCCCAATTTAACCCCTGAGTATTTGTGAGGGAGCTCCTATATGGCATTACCCAGCTGAAGCTCACCAAAGTTTAATATATTTCATAGTTCAAAGTTTTGTCAATTGTTTTGTTTATTGGTCAAATACTGGTTTCTAATGGTTTCTGAGGAGTTTTACTGGAATGAAAGAGTACAGAAGCAACAAAGCAGCATACTGCATTAAACCTGACCTTCACAGAGAGGTTGAAGTTCATGTGGAGAGGAGGCTTCAGTAGTCTGTCTGCACTCTGTTTAGTTGTGCTATCTTACAATCAATATAGTAAATGTGAAGTAAAATGTGTCGCCAATGTAACCGGTTAGAACTCGAAGTTGCGATGAGGTCTTAAAATGTATGGAAAGGGTCTTAAAAAAGGTCTTAAAAAAGGTCTTAAAAGGTATTAAATTTGACTTCAGAATTCCTGCATATACCCTGTACCTGCACTGAGACCCTCACCCTGCACCCTGAGTCTCAACTCTGTTTTTCAAGCCTTTCCCTGTTTTTTTGTATTAAACAAAACATTAATCTTTCCCAATGGTGTGGTTTTCGTTTTGTGAAAAAGTGCAAATGCAGTGTTTGTATATAATTACATCACATATTTTTTTGCTGTTGGTTGTGAAATTGCTCCTGCTGACTTGAGCCAGCCATTTTTTCCTCCGCTCTGTGTCAGTGGGATCCACAGTCACAGCCACAGTCAGGTCGAACCGGATGACTGCGGGGGGGCTAATGGTTCGCTAACAGTTCGTGTCGCTACCGCTGACATGGCGCGTCAATCAACGGTAAGTTTTGCCCATTACTTTGAATATTATTATTGTGATTGAGGATTAAAACCGCTTTGAAGACCACCGTTTTATATCGTGCAGTTTAACGGCAAAATAACGTCAGTCAGCCAGCTAACGCTAGCTTTGTTGAGTTTATGCTAGCTAAACAAGTAGTGGTTGTAGTCTACAGCAGTAATTAATATATTATAGCCTACTGCTTTGGCACTAACGGTTGATAACCGTTTATGAAAAATAAAACCAATTGAACTGTACTGAAATAATGACAAGTTTTATAATTGTCTTGGGCTCCTGCTGTGTTTTTAAAGCCTTTGTAAATCATCCATGCTATTTTCTATTTAGAACGAAGACTTCAGAATCTTAAAATCCCTTCACGTTTATATGCAATTGTGCTAAATTCAACTCTGGAATCAAGCAAATATTAATATGTTTGCATGACATTAGTTATTTATATTTTGATATCACTTAATTATACGTTTAATACATTTAAGTCAAGCTAAGGTACATGTGATGGTAGCTAGTTAGTGCTCTTACCTGTGAGGCCTCCTCCAAACAGCATAATAACCAGACTGTATCATTAAATCTAAGTACCAGTTCTAGATCCTTGACTTTAGACAAACAATTCAAAAGACAAAATGTATTTAAAAACCAATCTTTATTTGAATGTGCCTCTTAACCTGAGATATTAGTTATACAGTAATAGTATTGACAATCTAAAAAAACTGAGCAACTCAACAGTCAACTTTATATTTCTTATTGTCTAAAGCATTTATTATTTTCATTTTCCCAATCTCATATTCAGTGTGGACGGATTGAGGCAGCATGGTGTCCAGAGAGCTGCAGAGACTTCAGGGAGAAACCTCCGTGTGATGGACGTCCTGTCTGTTGGTTTGGAGAGGACTGAGGGTCTATCCTCAGCGAGGAGGACCAGGGCTGATGAAAGAGCCCATGCTGGGCATAGCTGATACCAACTGCACAGGCCTAGTCGGTCACTTTATTTGACTAAATGTGTTCACTTATACATTTAATAGGTTTACACCTTCTGTCCATATGTGCTTTTTATTTAAAACATGTTTGATTAACTTTTGGTTCACATTTCAATAAATTGTATTTGCACTCCTTTTGTCCATTATTCTTACTGAAAATGTTAGATTACACATTCACATCTGACTGAAGATTGGCCCCATTTATTTGTGACGTTGCAAACTCTGCGGTACAAGGCACAAGTGATGTGAAGCTCATAAAGCGAGGCAAATAGAAATAATCAGCTGATGGAGTGTAGATGTGGAAATAGATGCATCCCATCAGCTGACTGTGTTTTTTGCCACACTTTATAAGCCTGACTATAACCACCCCTTCTCTGAGGTGCAGGCAGCGTCACAAACAAATGATGGTCCTGATAGACTACAAAAATATTCGGTGTGCAGATCTTTGTTTTCACAATATAAGTAGTTTCTTAGTGAATGTCCTGTACTGGTCTTAAAATCTCATAACATCAGCCTTTAATGTTCCTCTTGGATGTTCTTCTTGACCCTCAGAGAAAGAGGAGATGCTGAGTCGTGTCTTTCGGGCATGTCCTTTCCTAACAAAAATGACAGGAAACATAAAACATTATTGCAGAACAAGTGTGTTATCTATGAAAGAGGTGTGTTTAGGGGCTGTTGATATAATTATTTTTTAATTGTAATCAGATTATGAATGAACAGTATGAAATTCATCAACATTGAAATATGTTATTATCAAAATAATATTTAACTGTTATCATAACGTAGTGCAACTGTAGAAGCTTGCTCTGTTGTCTCACTGAAAGAATAACTTTTACCACGTTTTTTACAGACAATATTGAGAGATAAATAGTAGCAGTTCTCACTATGTGTTAAATAGCTTTGCCTTCAATACATTAAATTAGAAAGCTGACAAAGGCACCCACTACGGCACGTAACAGTCATATTGCTTGTTAACATCTAAATGTAACCTTTTGCATGGAAAAAACCCTCAACTTCACTGATGTGTAGGTGATCTAGTATTTAGTATTGTTTAATGGAATGTATATCAGTGTATTAAAGTCAATACTTCATTTATTTAAACCAATATTTGTCTTGATTCTTTGTACAGTAAGAAAAGAGTCTTTGTACCTGAGCTGAAGTTCACTGCTGTGAGGAGTCCAGTTCTGTCTCTCACTCTCTGGTCCAGCCTATCTGCATCACCTGGACACTTTAAACCAGGCATCCTCAAACTACGGACTCCGGTCCGGATCCGGACCGAACCACCACTGTCTCCGGACTCTGAGCAAATTATACTTTTCATATGTATGATCTCTCTGTATTATATGTGAGACATCGCCACAACGCATTCGCAACGAGTCAAAATTCTCCGCTATGTCCACTGCAAACAGCGCTCTGCATGTCTGACTGTTCCACTGTGTTCCACCTGTGTGTGTCAACGCTTTGGTCCAATCACATTCAGCATCCAGTCAGCGTTTCCCCCCCCCAAACAATCTGCGAATCAGAAGCACAGTAGGGCGGGTCTTCGCGGAATGCGGGTGGGAAAAATGTGTGTGTCTTGTTCAACCTGTCTAAGTCAGAGCGAGAATTAAAACAAAAACAAAAAAAATTCAGAGCGAGAGTTAACAGCTCATCTAGTTCTATCTGTACTGTAGCTAGTAGCCTAGTTTCACCTACCGGGGTGGCAACTGACACCCTAAAAATAGGCCTTGCCACCCCAGCTGCCACCCCAGTTGGCAGCTTTGTTTTGAAAGAAAAGTTGTGGCTCATCGGACATTTATGAGAGAAAGTCTCTAATGTCCGAGTGCAAGTGAATGCAGCACAAGATGCACGTCATGTAACCCCTCCCCCGGTCCTGGCGCGAGCGTGGACATACGATTTGGCGGCGATTTCATTTTTAACTGGACGGCGCAAAACGAGAAGCATTCGGACCCAAGCACTGAAGGAATGAGGTATTTGCGGTCTACAATGACAGAGAAGAGACTGTCAGTGTGGCTGCACTCAGCATTGAATCAAAACGCACTAAAGCTGTTGATCTTAATACGTTTGTGAGGCGTTTTGCTGAACAAAATGGTAATCGCCGCATTCAGCTGTAATAGACATGTCAACTTGATGCTCTGCTCACGGATGAGCATACACAACTATTAAGATGATGACCTTACGTGTGTAAATATATTGTTTTCTTTGAGGGGGTCTGCCCCCAAAAAAGTTTCAAGTCCTGAGAAAGTCAAATAAGACGGTGTGTAAAACTACACTGCCCAGCCAAAAAAAAGTAACCACTTTGATTTAACTAGGCCAGTAGGTAAGGGCTTTCCACTGGATAATAACTGCAGTATAAAAGAATGCATGACTGAAGTGATGGAGACCATGTTGAAGGCAAACAAAAAGAGGAAATAACAGGTAAAATC